TCTTGAAACTATTTGTCCACAAAAGATTTAAGCAACACACAAATAACAATGCAAATAATTCCAACACAGAAGCGGAGCTTGGCGAGGATATATACAGTACCTCTGGAACAGTTAGAGAATGTGCCCAGAGAAACAAAATTTAACCTTCAATGATTTCAATTACAGTAAGTCTTATGTTCTCCTAACTGTACAGGTACAGAAAAAATAAATGTATTCTGATATGCTGAGAATGTAGCTAAATGCTAAAAAAGAAAAACACACAGTAAGGAAGGCTTATTTTGTTTTTCGATGATGTATGTCTTAGTTACGTTCCTGTTGCTGGGACACAACAGCTGACACCCTTAACTAGGAGGAGGAGAGGCTTACTGGGGCTCACAGACGGTAGAAGTTTCAGTGCATAGTCAGCTGATCTAAGGCAGGGAAGCCTGGCAGAGGAACAGCACAGAGGAGAAACGGTCCATGGCACGGCAGGCAGGAAGCAGGAAGGGGTCGAGGGAGGACAAGCCTAGATACTCCTCCAGACCACGCCCACAGTGACCCACGTCTTCTGCCCAGGCTTTACCTCCCAGCTACAAATCTGCCAGCGAACTAGTCCAGTAATGAGTATCACACACTCAGGAACCACCACCTGCCAAAAGCAGCACCCATGAGCATGAAAAGCTTTGAGGGGACATCTAGCTTTAGCTATCATGATGAATAATAGAGAAAAGTCCATAAATCACAACATTGAATGGAGTTTTAAAAGAGAACACACTAGTATGGGTATCACTCAGGTGAAGAGTCCCCCTCACACCCTCTTTCTAGCCTGCTGCTTTCATTCTACATCACACATATGAAATGCTTCCCTGTTGCATGCACCAGTCATTCATACTCACCGCTACATATTTCACCACTGTATAAATTCATTCTACTGTTTTCTGGATTTTTTTTTTTTTTTTTTTTTTGTACTGGGGATCAACTCACGACCTTGTGCTTGCAAGGCAAGTGCTTATGCTGCTGAGCTAAATCCTGGTGAAATTCATTCTACTGCTCAAGGATATCTGAGAAACTCTAAACTCTGGTTTTAAGAGTGCTTTTACTATATTTTTATATGTCTCTTCTAATGCAATATAAACACAATTCTAACAAGTACATACCTATGCATAAAATTGTTATACAGGTTATGTTTGTTAAGCTTTGGAAGATATAGCTGAACAGTTTTCCCAAACAGTGTATTTATCATACCCCCACCGGCAGTGATATTACACTCCCACCAGCACCGTATGTTTGGTTTGCACTAGTGAGACAGGATCTCACTATGTATTGTAGGCTGAACTTGAACCCACTATGTAGCCCAAGCTGGCCTCAGACTCACAGTGATCCTCCTGCCTCAGTCTCCAAGTGCTGGGACTACAGGCGTATACCACCATGCCTGGCTCCCGCAGTGTATTTGAGCTGCTCAAATTTTATATTTTAACCATTCTGATAGCACTTCCGCGGTATTTCACTGTGGTTTAGTTTATGAAGCTCTTCTGACCAATAAGGGCAAACACCTTAGTATTTCTCATCTCTTTCAGGAGTTTGATTAAACAGCTGACTCCCTCATCTTATAAAGGTAATCTGTTTTCTTATTCTTGAAAAGCATACCAAGTAAACAATGTAACCAAAAAAATAAACAAAACCCAAGAAATTCCTGCAGTTTGTTTCTTCACTGGAATAGTAATAACACACCTGCTCAATGTATGTCTTTCTTTCTTTCTTTCTTTCTTTATTATTTATTTTATACCGGCCATCAAACTCAGGACCTTGCACTTTCCAGGCAGGCACCGCACCCCTGAGCTATGTCCGCAGTCCACACATTCCCTTTAAAGACAGTCTACAAAGGGCAAACAAAGATAGTCTGGATATTGGAACTGTCAGACAGAGGTATTTAAGCAGATATCATGAGTATACTCAATGACAAAAAATAATGTCTTGTTGAATGAAGAGAAGCATCTCAACAAATTCAGAAAAAATATTCAAAGAGCTAAATGGTGACCTTGTAGTCTAAAAATACAAAGCAAAAAACTAAAAATCATTTATCTATACATAGTAATGGAACTGACATAAAATTTAAATGCATCAGTGAACACAAAGATAGTGTACAAAATTACCTGGTCTGAGACAAAAAAAAAAAATAGTTTCAAAAACAGCTTCAATATTTTTTTAAATTTAACAAACCTAATAGCTTCAGGAGGCCTAATATACAAGTAACTGGAATCTCAGAAGATGAAGAAAGTGAAAGCAAAACTTACCATAACAGTCAAAGAAAAAATGATGTATCACAGAACAAGTAACTTACAATTGAAATACTGCAGGGTTCCTAGACACTATAAAGACAGTGGACTACTTCCTGAGTACTGAAAAGGGGAGGGGAGCAACCCAGAATTTTACATTAATAATAAAAGAGCCAGACGTGGTGGTACACACCTGTCATATGAACTACTTCAGAGGCTGAGGCAGGAGAATCACAGGTTCGAGGTTAGCCCGAGCAACCTAGTGAGACTTTGTCTTGAAATGAAAAAGAAAAATAGCTAACAGCTCAGTGGCAGAGCAGCCCAGGGTCATTCCCCAGCTCCACTTTGATCCAAATAGAGTAACAGGAACTAGATTTTTTTGTCCACTTAAAACAACCAAAACTAGACAAAAAAATATAAACCATCTTGAAGGCATTGGTCGCTGCAGAATAAAAGATGGTGATCTCTGTGAGGCAGGAGACCACAACTGCTTTAAGAGAGTTCCAGGGGAGCAGGGAGAGGGAACCTAGGCGGGGCACAGTTTACACCCTAAGTTACCAAAATGAGAGTCCAGGAGGACTCGAGCAGCAAGAGGTCCCAGGACAGAGTAGCAGAGACGAAACAGCAAGAGAGACAGGAATACAGAGTCTACTAAGGGTCCCCGCAAGTATTCAGCTGAGTATTTTGCAAGGCACACACGTGAGGAAGGAGCAGGGCCCAGCCAAGCAAAGGTAACAGTGCCCGGCCGCCAGGCACAGTGGCTGTGTGGATGCTGTTCCAAGCTGCAAGGTCCCAACACTCACGTCACATGTGGTGAGTACACAGGAGGTATTTCGGCAGCCCTAGCGTGAGGGCGATGCGGTCCTGCCTAACAGATCTTAAAAGCAAGAATGGAGAGGATCGAACTACTTACATGCAACTTAGCTGTGTCTCAGTAAAAAGGCCATGTCTATTTATACAAATAAAGATATCCAGAAGCCAACAATGTAATGTCTACTATGCGTGCATTTAACCAAAAACTGCCAGGCCCATAAACAAATTCAAAACTAGGGTCCATCATGAGGAGAAGTAACCAAATGAAACAGGCCCAAACCGCTGCAGCTGCTAGAAGGCGAAGACTTTTTTTTAAAAGTTGTTACACTGTTTTCTATATACTCAAAAAGCTAGTGAACTTAAAAGACACGTTTTATAGTATTCATGAAGTATGTTTAAACTTTTTTTTCCTGTGCAAGGATTGCTTTGCTAATGCTAGCAAAGCATTCTATCACTAAGCAACACTCCCAGCCCTGTTTTTTAAATTTGAAGACAACGTGTCAGGCTGGACTCAAACTCATGATCCTCCTGCCTCAGCTTCCTAAACTGCTAGGATTACAGGCATGCACATGATGTATGCGTAATCAGAGTACCCCAAAAAAGAAGAGGGCAATAAAAAATATTTGAAGAAATGACTAAAATCTTCTCAAATCTGATAAAAATAAACTCAAAAGCCCAAGAATGCCAATGAACCCCAACTAACAGCACAAGACACATGAAAAGAATGACAGTAAGCCACATTGTAATAAAACTGCTCAAACTTAGTGACAAAGAGAATTCTGCAGTACCTGTACATAGAACATAATTTGGCAATGAACAGGAATGAAGTACTGGTACATGTGACTACACGGATGAACCTGTGGCAGTCAGAAAGACATGTTACACGCAGGGGAGTGATGGGTTAATTCAATCGGAACAGAATGGAGCAACATCCTGAAAGCACTGAACAGAAAAAGACAGGCAAGAACAAGTGCTGGCAAGGTAACCAGCGTCATGACACACCCCTGGTGGGGACGTCAAGCGGAACAGTTTACCCGTTCTTCAAAAGGTTAAGCATCTGTAGCCACGTCACCTAGTAACTCTACTCCTAAATTAACACCTGAGATATGAAAACACGTATCCACACAGAAACTTTTACATACTCATAACAGCCAAAAATAGAAATGGTGCACACCAACAAACGCACAGAAAAACTGTAGTGGATGGGTCCACTGAAATGTTTTAGGCTATAAAAAGGAATGAAGTCCTCATACATAAGACAATGTGAATGGACCTTGTAAAGAAAAACGGCAGGCACAAAAGACCACCACTGTCAGATCCCGTGAATGTGACATTCCCAGAGGAGGCAAACCTCCAGAGAGGAAGTGTGAGTGGGGCTGGGAAGAGGTACACAGCAGTGACAGCAAATGGCACCTTTCAGGGCGACAAAGTGTTCAAGATGTAGTGTTGACAGAGCGAGCTCTGTGAAAACCAATGAACTGTATACCTTTTAGGAGTGAGCTTTATGGGATATGAATGATACAACGAATCTGTGAAAATAAACGACAGAAGCGCACTGAGGAAGCCTACTCATGAGTCAAAGAGGAAAATTACCATAACACTGTAAACCACCACAGACTGATAAACTCAGCTTTAAATAAATGAACCATCAGATTTAATTACTGTATTTAAATATTTAAAATGCAACTTCTATAGAAAGTAACTATCACATGTTTTTCCTATAACCTGACAAAAAGCAGCTGCTTCTTAGCCTGATGGCATAAAGACAGAAGATGAATCACTGTTTGTGGAAACCAATTTGTTTATTCACACTGAATCGCTGTTATTTATTACTTGTCAGCAAATACTGTTGCTTCAATTAAATACAAAAATCTGAAGGTTATTTATCCCTTAGCCCCATCCATTTAAAAAAAGAGAAATAGGTGACACGAATTCAAAACATTAAAAGAACATCTTAAGTTTATTGTTTTATTATTTTACTGAGTTGTTGCTTATTACATAACATCAGCAAAGGAAAAGATTCATTGCTTTGACTAGTTAGATTTTAACATTTACAGAGACCATTATGAAAATATACTTTGGGGCCTTTCCTTTCAGAATAACATAAACCCAAAACTTTAAAACAAGGCACTCAGAAAGTGTTCACTGCAACACGGCAGCAAATTCTGAGAAAGCTGAGACAGCCAAGACACAGCTAACAAAAGGTCTGATTTCTTACACGGTTGTGCTCCCTTTCAGACAAATGACATACGCATACTTGTTACATAAAAATATGACAGTGTTCTTTGGTTAGGATCTCATCATTCCACTACAAGCAACCAGAAACAAAAAATAAACAAATGAAAAAATCTTGTCACATTAAGCACCAGACAGGTAATGGCAACTACTGCCAGGGTGGGGTGGGGAGGGTGGCACCTTGGGTAATCTGTCAATACAGAACACCAAGCAGTGTGTGCTACCTGAATGTGCCACATATCCCTGCCAAACAGACACCTGCTATCCCTAATTACATTCCTCACTGAGCTTATGCCTTCAAAGTGTCAAACCAGCACACTACTTCTGGGGCTAATTTCCACTTTCACTGAAAAACATACACTTTAAAGAACACTAAGTGCTCATCTACCACAGAGTACACAAGTCCATTTCCTTTACTGTTTCAGTAAACTAAAATTACATCGCTTCCAGAAAACTTAAAGAGTATGATTGCAACCAGGATTTCAAGCTAATGTAAGTGGATATAATGTTTTCAGACGGCTACCTGAAAAGGATCTTATTTATGCAGTAAATCAAAGAAAGTTGCCCATGTTGTGTTCTTACACCAAAGTCTTTGTATTTACAACAAAACTTATTTACACACAACTGCACGTGAACCCTATTTCTTGTAGGCTGCTTCACTGATAGAAGCACCAATGATCATAATGCAGGGTGACACAGTAAATAACCCCCCAGCATGGAATACTATTTGTCTCTGCACTAATCTAAGAACCATATCCCTATGGATCTGTCACTTGTGTCAGATGTCACTGTCCATGCTTGTTTGTGCACTCTTCCCAGAACTCACATACCTTTAGTATTTTCTGAGCTTAAGGAGTCAGCATCATACAATTTCAGGAGTTTCTGCAAGAGATGTTGATGTCTTAAGTGTATTAACTATATGGCTTTTATACTGTGAAAATACCTTCTCTCTATGTTGTCATTTGCTCGTTATTTTTTATTCTCAGTATTACCATGTATGAACATGTGCATGTTTATGCAACACACACAAGCATAATTTTGCTAGTGAAAAAAGGTTTACATATCCCTAATTTGATCAACAGATAATGATTTCAAATATTGGAGAAGGTACAAGAGCCAATAAATTATTCCTTGATAGGACGTTTCTCCTTTCTAGTTTTTGTCCAAGTTATTTTCAATAAATCTACAACACTGCAAACAAGAAATTAGGATTTTAAAGTCTTTTTAAAAGATTCTTTGAACTTAACATAACACTCATATATTTTAATAAATTCAGGTTGTGGGGAAAAGGCAGGAGAAGAATAAATATTTAAGTGACTGTAAGTACTGAAATGATCGTGTAGAATAAGGAGAGGAAGTGGCTGGCCAAAAGCTTTAATCTACTCTTTAATGGAAAAAATAGAAATTCTAAGTAAATATATTTGCAGGCCACATGCAATAAACATTAAATGTATTGATATTTGAATCTAGATTTCAGTCAAGGAGTCTATTTATCCAGTTCTGTGATAAAACTCTCAAAAAAATCCAAAACTACATCTTTACATAAAATTGTATATATTTCCATTTTTCTTGAAGTTTCCAAATTGAGAATATAGCAAAGAACTAAAAAAAACTGTAACCAAAAAATGACCAATTAAAGAAAGTGACAAGCAAAGAAATGGTAGGAACAAAAGAGCTAAGTAATAAAAAGAGAAAAGAGAAAGAATAAAGAAGAGCAGACAGAAACGACTGGTCAGGTATGCTGGGTCAAAGCAGACCCACCAACCATGCTAATGTGCTTAACTATGCTTCAGCTGCTATTCATCTGGTAATTCCGTAAGTTCTAAATTCACACCAAATTAATCAACATTCTATTTTCTAATAATATCTTACTATTAAAGATAAACCACTTAAACCAATATGCAATTAAACTCTTAACCGTGATGATGCACTAGTTTATAAGAAACTATAGTTTCTGAATTTCCCATCAGTGCACTTAAGATTTGGGGAATTCAAAAAATAATTATCTATGAAATGCTTACCTTTCATTAAAACCTAGTAGGTTTCAAAAAACATGGATTAATATTAATATATAAATGAAGACATGAAAGTCAAATTTTGTTTTTACACAGAGAAAAGGTTTATGCTTTCCTAAGTTTCAGTCCATGATCAGCTGGTTCAGTTGCCTCAAAGACTATGGCAGGAACTACCCCTCATTACCTACTAAAAACCAAGTTCTTATCCTTGATCATGTGTTGATATAAACGTATTTTATAACTAGAGGGACTGATTTCATTTACTCAACAGGAAGAGCAGTAAGTTCTTTAAGACTGATTTCGTCAAGGTAAAATCCACACCCTCACCAGAGAGTTCAAACAAATATCAGAGATTTTCCACCTGCAGATTAGGTGGCAAAAAGACAACATCTTAACAGATATTTAAAAAGAATAGCCGACTGGATGAACACATATTAAAAACATAAAATAAAACAAGGATGACTGGTTGCCATGCACATTTTTGTAACCAAGCAGTAAGTACAGTTACCCTTTGATTCCTCCTCCAGGGACTCTACCAGGAGTCTGATTAACTAGTGAACAACAAAAACCTTTTTACAGGTGTCAGAATACATGAGTATTCCATTTACATATTTTAATGTTAACAGCAAGAAATGACTACAAAACATGAAGTCTGACAAGAAAATGCAGTATTTTAACAATGAAATTTGGTTATAAATAAGAAAATGTAATAAACTTTTTTCTCGTTCTTATTGCAGGATTGGTGTAGAAATAAATACTAGTTTATACAGTAATGGATAAGTCAACGGACCTCATAGTCAGATTTTAATTTGATATCTTAATGTTCATATTTTCTTCTTCCATGTTTTTTTTTTTTTTTTTTTAGTCTTTTTTCCTTTTTATCAGTACCGGGGATCGAACTCACAACTGCCTGCTTGCAAGGCAGCTGCTTATGCCACTGAGCTAAATCCCCAGCCCCATCTTCTTCCATGTTTATTAGTACAAAAATCCCACCAAAAGTCATCATACAGAGATTTAACACCAAAACCACTGCTTTCCTACAATCAACTACCCCAAGCTATCTTTTTCACTACCAGAAATAAAAACTTCATAATGTTTACTGATGCCTGCAGAATCACTTTTTGGGCAGAGAGGTTCTATGTTACAATAGACTAATAAATATGATAGGCAATAATGCCACATTTCTATCAATTTGGTGATTTTGAGCATCACACTACAAATAGAACTTTTTTACATTTTATGTCAAATGTATAAGGCAGGGATAAGTTACCAGAACTTCTAATCCATTTTTGAACTTTGAGAAAGATATGTTCTCTGTGGAGAAGACAGGAAGATATGGTAAAACAGAAGAACAATGAATAAATATAAAATGCTGAAAAGAAACTATCTTTTACAAGTAGTACAAAGAATTTTCTCCTCTTTCAAGGAATTTTAAAGCATCATTAAAATACTGATCCTTTTGAAACTATAAAAGTATATACTTTTAGTTTAATATCAATTATACTTTTGATTTAAAAAGATCTTTCAACTGATAATTATTATAAAAATATCTTAAAAACTAAATTCCTTTCTATAATGAGCAGAGATAACTTGCTTTACCTTCAGACTAACAATTGCTTCTACTAAATAAGATAACTAAGAGGGTTTGGTTTTCAAATAAATAACTTGTAAAAATTAAAATATTTTAAGAAAATTTGGAAAATAATTCAGTAACATATTTTACATATAAATTAGTTCTCCTGGATATAAAACACTGTATTATTATTTTTTTTACAAACATAACTAAAGATGACAGTAAAAGGGGTTTTTAAGGATCTTCATAGCCCCATTTAAACCAGGGCAATAGAAACCGCAAAACATTTAAAAACTAAGTATCTCCACAAACTCCACAATACAAACTAGAACAGACCACAAACAAGTCCTAAGACCATGACATCAGGACTTCTATAGGAGAGACAAAAGAAGCCAGCTGGCATCAAAGAGACCTGATACTAGGAGAGAGTCAAATAAGTGAAAATCATGGGAAGTCGATTTGAAATAGCAGCTGACAGTGAGACTATACATTAAGATAAATCAAATATAAATTATACAAAGGTCTGAAAGTAGCTGGATTTGTGTAGCCTCTAAGACTTCCTTCATCTGATCAGCCAGGACTCTTAGGGTACATTCTCATAGTAAGGAAAAACAAGTTGTAGAATCAAAACTGAGGAGAGGGAGAAAAGCAAAAGAAAGAGAAATTAGGTAAAAGTGGAAGAAGAGACCAGAGTAGTAATTCTCAGAAAGCAAGTTGCCTTACTTTACACCACCAAAGAGTAGTAACAGACAAAAGAACAAAAAAGTAGAAAAGCTAACCTAAGCCAAGTTTCTTTTTAAAGGAACATAAAAATGAGAAACACAAATACTGTTAAATCCCATGTAATGTTATTTTAAAAAGGAGCAAAATGACATCCATATGAACAGTAAAACTATAAAAACCCACATAACATATTAAGTCTACTACGCTGTATTTTACAATTAGATGAAAATCATTTAAAGAAAATGCTAATAGTCATAAAAGAATTACATAAACCAGAATTAGATATGAGGCAACAGAATTCAACGAAAAAACAGAAATGAAAGTAAAATCAGAAATCAGAACTAGCAGCTAGGGTGATGAAAGACCCTGGATTCCTCAGCACCAAAATATTAAAAAAAAAAAAAAAAGGAAATCAGAAGTAAACTAACAATGCCTAAACAGAAATGGGTGAGAAGAAAAACACTGTCATCTCAAAATGAAGGTCTTAAAAATGCAGCATATAACTGCCACATGTGCAATGACTCCCCAGGGAAACTTACCACAGTGACAAAGGTTAAAAGGCATCACCTATTTTGGACAATAAAAGAGATGACAAGGATGATCTAGAAAACTGGAAGCTGGAGCACAAATAAATGAATGAAAGTGTCTTAGCAGATGAAGAGAAATGTAACCTAAGTGCCTACTGAGAAGTGACATCAAGAAGGGATTTAATTCTGAGCACAAACCTAAGTAAGGCTGAGTTGTAAAGATCCCAACTTCTTCCAGGGTGTAAGAGGTGCACAATAGGGAAGTTGGGTCTCCTCAAGAACAGGCAACAAGCAGCACTCATTAATCAGATCCACCAAAGATTTAGGCAAAGTGCAAGCATAAGATTCTAAACTCAGATGTACACACAGAAATAAAGCCAGGGTCAGCCTATGGAAATCTACCAAATGCTAGGACTAATCAAAAACAAAGAGCTTCCACTTAGCAACTATCAATCAGGTATCAGCAAAAATTTAAGGAAATTTGAGAAAATTTGAGAATCTGAGAATAAACAAGAAAAAATTAACTTGAAGGAAATAGAAGATAGAAATTAAAACATAAATATTCTCAGAGGTACAATGTTACATCCACAAAACTCAAGTACAAGGCCAAGGCAAGAGCCAGGAAGTACTGGCAGATTCAGAAAGAAAATAATTTATAAAAAATAACTGAATTTATATTCAGTTTATTACTTACAGATAGTGAGACAGTAGACGACATCAAGTCTCTGTGGCCTCTGTGTGTTGGGTAACACCAACATAAAAGGGACCAGATGACAATGTAACAGGAGGCATGGGACATCCTGCTGCTATGAAGCTAATGCTATGCTGCAGCTCAGCAATTTGATAGCCCGAGGCTGTGCTCTAAGGAAGTAAAGGTAGAAAATCTCAGGTTGCAAAGAGAGCAAGGAGGGAGGTGAAAAACTGCCTTAACCTCCCAGAGGGGAGATGAGAAAATGATCCTGTAAGTGCTCCCCACAAGACTGCCTATCTTGCCATATCCTTGGAATGATCTTAGGGTATTCCTCCAGGATTCAGGTCAGTCTGAGGTTCCAGTTCAATCTGCCTGGCCTAACAAGATATGGGCAAGGTGATCAGACTGGAGCCATGGCCTTATAGACACAAGAATACCTATGTATGTATGTATGTATGTATGTATGTATGTATGTATGTATGTATTTTTTGTGATACTGTAGATCAAACCCAGGACCCTGCACATGCAAGGCGAGCACTCTACCACTATGCCACATTTGCAACCTTCATTATGCTACTGTAAAAAAAAGAATACTCAGAAAATAAAAATAGAAAACTTCTGTATATTAAAAATGATAATATGCTTTAAAGAAATCCACAGGAAGAACTAGAACAATTGAAAAAATATGAAAAACTAGAAATGATACAAAGTAGAAATAAAAATTTTAAAACTCAGATAAAATTTTAAAACTAAGATAGATCTGAATAAAATGATTATCTGAATTACAGACTAGAGAAAACTAAAATATAACCCAAAAAGTAATACTTAAAAACTTCCAAAATGGAATGACATGATTTCCCCAGAGTCCAATGATAAACTCAATGGAAGAAAAAGATCTGTAGCTATAAATCATCAGGAAATTTCAGAGAAATAGCGATAAAATCATACTCTGACAACTTCCAGAGAGAAATAAACAAGACATATATTAGAAGTCAGAATGACAAAGGAAGTCTTAACAGCCTCAATGAAGTTGGAAGTCGTTGGTGCAGTGCTACCAATGACTCTTGAGTCCAGACATCTACATTTAAGTAACACTGCTTCCCAACTGTCAGCTTAGACAGAACTAAGCTAGGCTGAATCACCAAAGGAATCAAAACAATTCATAGTTAATTCATCTTTCACAGAAAGCTGCTGGATGAGTACACCAGCAAAATGAGGGAATAAACCAAGAGGAAGACAAAAGTCAGGAATGATGGCCCCAACTTCAAACACAGAGAGCAACTCACCTAAATTACCAGAAAGACAGAGCACTGCAGGAGGGGTACCATTAAACAACATGGAAAGTGACAGGTCACATGATATGCCTGAACCTAGTACGGGATTTATATTCCTACAGGGCAATTTAGGCATAAATTAACGTCTGCCACATACAATACTGAACAAATAAAATACACAATTATATCCATTCCAAAAAACTTAAAGTTGTACAAAATATATTTATGGTTACCACATAGAACAATTATGACTGCAATTACATAGCACAACTAGTATAACTACCAACCGCTAACTGTATCAGAAAGTGTAACACAACTACATTATATTGGAAGAATAAAAGAGGTAGGTATGAGTTTAAGGGAGAGTTAGGGGAACTAGAGCTTAACTTTCACATTTCAAAACAGATCAACAGATAAAAGTCCAATATCAATGATCATGTCACTCTGTAGCAATATATACAAATGCTACAAGAAACAGCTAAAAGATTTCAAAGTGGCAACCACAATGAAATGATAGCCTGTTATAAACATGGCAGAAGTGTTATTTTTCACTACCAGCTTTGGCAGGGGGAACCCTGGTCTGACTTAAAATTATTCACACATTAGCCTAGCACAGTTGAACATGCATATTATCCCTGAACTCTGCGCACCTGAGGCAGGAGGGCTGCAAGAGCAAGCCCAACCCAGACAACTTAGTAACTCTGTGAGACCTTTCCTCAAAATACACCTAAGAAAGGTCTGTGCATGTGAGGCCCTAGGTTCAATCCCTGGACCAAGGAGGGAAATATTATTCTGAAATAAAACAGTCCAAAGTGAGTAACTCTAAGCAGTATACTTACCAAGAGATGCTGACAATGAGGACTATAATAGGTAGAAGGAAAAAGAGGTACCTAGACTTTGTTTATATCCAGAACAGCAAGAGACAAAAAAGAGATTAAATAGATTGTTTCATTTGGAATTGCAGGTGGAAGGAAATGGAGGAGATAAATACTTGAACTCAAGAGTTCTACGTTTCTTAAACTTTATAGTATTCTGTATTAAAATCAGACCATTACAGCTGATAGATAATCTTGCATTTGGCTGACAATTTGCTTCACTTTACAATTACTTGTACAAGGTTACACAGATGGTTAGAGCAGTCAGAACCATCTGCTAACTCTCACATTCTTTTCATTGTATCACAAAGCATCTTAAAATAATTATCAACTACCAAAGTAATACATCTGAGTTCCTACTGGTACATACATTCATTGGCACTTTTAAAAATAAAGAAGAAAGTTTGTTAAATTTACTTTTCAGGAACTATATCTAAAATCAAACTCTTTTTTCCTACTTTGTATGACAGACCAGAACTGAGAATGCCAAATATTTGGCCCAAACTGCAACTACATCCTTGTTTTATCTACTTCAAATGTCACTGAAAAGCACACATTTTACTGCAATCTGTATTAGGTTCAGATGACTAAGGAGGCCTTTAGCCAGGTAACTCATGATTTAGTTCTAGCATTTTACTGAAAATAGGTTTTGGCAGAAAGATTTATAAAGGATATACTGCTTCCTAGCTTAAGGAACAGGTGGTGTTTAACAAAAAGATGCGAGGGTTTGGGTAATTTTTCACTGATAGGTTTTTAGGATATCTGAATATACAGAAATATCTGAAAGTGGGCTAAAGCCTACTGCTTGTAACTGCTCACCAATGCAGAGGACAACAGTTGCCACCCAATGATAAGAATCTTAGTTAAGTTCCTAGCCAATTAGGATTGTTTTACATTAAATGGAAAATTCAGTTGCTATTTTTAAAATTTAATTACTAATCAATGCCTAAACATTTTCCTTACCTTAGCAAAAGGAAGGCATCAGGCATAACAAGAAGCTGCATTTATACCTTCACATAGAGAATTCAGTCTATACCTGCTAAAAATCTATCCTTTAACCTCTCTGGGTTTAAGATCTGAACAGAACTGAAGACCTCCAGGGCAGTCACTGAGAGCTGATAATTTCAGGGGCACCATCAGACTGTTTGTGGTGTTTTCCCCACTGCTCAGGCACTTTTAAAACAAACTTACTCCTATTCACTAAAGTCAGTCATTTTCAGACAGCTCTTAAATCTTTAAACATTAAAATTTAAAAGAAGAAAAAACAGATTTTCAAAAAGATAGGACTCTAAGTAGCCACTAATTTGCTCAGTGTCTTCTATCTCACACATACTTACTGCAAGCAAATACCATCCAAACTACTCTGCACACTGTACACGATCCACAATGCTTCATGAAGACGGTAACTTTAAACACCTATAGAACTGAGGTCTTTCCTACTCTTAAATGTTTAGGAACACAAATACCATCTACTTTAATAATTAGTAAGTAGCAATAAAGCTTATTCTGTACTCTTTTATTAAATTCCAAGTTGGAATAGAAATTTCCATTGAAAAACACTTTAACATGAACTATAACTGAATCACCTAATAAAACATAATCCTAGCAAGTTGTGTAGAAGTGTTCAAACTATGTTAGTAGAGTATGGCTTCTAAATAAAATATATACTATACTTGTTACCAAATATAAAACAGCTCAAGATTTCCACTTAGAAAATATATAAGTTAAGGGATCCTACTTAAATTTATTTTGGTATCAAACAACTGCTTAGTAATGACAGAATCGGTAATTGTGGCAGGATGCTAATTTGTTTATAAAATCTATATAAAATTAGATAAACTATAACATCAACTTCTCAAAGGTTCTTGAAACTAATTTTGTTCTTGGAAAAGTATCAAAGTCTTCAGATCCAGAATGACAAGTCTTTTATTATTTTTGATTCACGTAAATACCAAGCAACAACAATGTTGTTCAAGCAACAACATCCCATGAAACTCTGCATGATAAAATATCCTCCTTTTCCTGATAGTTTGGAATGTAAAGGCAATTTGTTCCTTTTTATGGAAGAAAAAACTAAACAAAATGTCCAACAGAATCAATTACCTGCTAGAAAGGGTTGTCTGCCACAATTAAACATGAGCAATCAGCTCTACATTGTAAAGAACTGCCTCAAATTGAGTCCTCTGTTTCTTTATAAAAAGTTTTCTCAGCCATTTCAGATACCTAAGCCTTATAATAGAAACTGCTACTCAGTTTTAACTAGGAAATCCACATCCACAAAAGCAATCTTCAAAACGGTACATTTTAAAAGTACACATATGCAAAACTATTTCTTAACAAATCTAAGAGCAATAATTTAATATTGTATTGCAAAATGTAAGTAGCTTTAAGAGAAGCATGCTTGCTCAATCTTTCTTAAAGCTTGAGCCAATCTTTCTTAAAGCAGAGTCAAAACAAAGAAAAAATACCATAACTCTTTCTTAATAGCTTTAAGAGATTAATTTGCACACATAGCTAAATATTTGTCTAACAAAAATCCAGCCTACCCAGTTATAATTGCCATGAGTTCAAACACACATTATAATATAAAAGTTTTTTTAAAAAGGTATTTTAGGCCTAAGGTGAGTTTACCTAGTAATGTTTACATGAGAAATACCACACAAGACCCAAATAAACTTCAGATACAAAATTTTATGATGTAGCATTGTTTGAACACATCTAAAACTCAAACTCCATTTAAATAACTAGGCTGGTTTTTTTATATCACCAGCTTTCATGAGGGCCTTAATTGCTCGCGCCCTCATCTCAAGTTCCAGCAGCTCCAGCTGCTGTGCAGAGGGCTGAACGTCTTCCGGCGGAGGAACAGTCAGGGGGGCCGCTTTGGGTTCCTGGGGGCTGGATTCCGCCAGCCCCAGAATTTCATTGACACTTTTCTCAATGTCTTTCTCCAGGTCATCTATCTGACCAGCTTCAGTCTGCACTGCGCTCTCTGGGGCCTCCGGAGCAGCCGCGTCTTCGTTGCAGGGGCCTTCTATGTCGCTGTCATAAGCATCTGCATTTATACTGAGTACATCACTATCTTCCCCTTTGCCTGCAACAAAAAAAGGAGGGCACGAAACCATATAACCTAAACAGCCTGTACCAGAATCCTTTACTGTTGTCATCAAAGGCCTGCTTCGCCCTACCTCCCCCAGGGAACCCCAGGAACAAGGCACACAACCCACTTCACCCCTGTCCCCAACTCCTCACCCATCAAGCAGACTGAATTTTATGTAAATCATAATGTATTTTTCATTCTAATCTAGGAGCTCACAAGCACTAGGAAAACACTCCGTCATACAGAGTTCTGCAGAGTTGTTTTGTAAAATGTCATGTGTTGTATCACAGTGAAAATTCTCCATTATAAAATGAAAGCTGATGTTGGGAACCTTTTGGATAGAGAACTGATTATCAAAGATGTAAAAATTTTCTCTAGAAGGTATTTAAAATACTTTGCTTTATAAAGCACAAAAAAGGAAAAACAGCATCAGCAAGCCAGACACCATATGCATTACAATTACCCCCAATCTTTTCATATGCTTTTTCAAACACTTGGTTCTAAATCAATAAAAGAGAATGCCTAAGGCCATTTTCTAAGATGAAATAAGTCTTTAGAAGAGGATTTTAATTAATAAAGTTCATATACCATATTTTTTAAATGCATTTGTTATAAAACTTCTGGAATTGACATTAAAAATGTAAATATAAATGCAGATTATGACTCTCAAACACCTTAGTCTTGGCAATGGATATTATTCAACTTCCTGGCATCATTTACAACTCTGAATATTTACTTTTCTCTAATTCATTTATATTCTATATCTCTGGCGTTTTTTAAAATTTTTATTAGCACATGTCTGCAGTACATAATAATTAAACAACGCACTGTAGGAGTGGTAAGTGCATGTATTTCTTTTTTCATCGCCTATCTCTCTGCTCCTCCCATCTCTCAGTCCCTTCCCATGTGCATAAATTCCATTTCCATTTTTTGGTTGTTTTTTGGGGTTTTTTTAAGTAATGATTCCCAAAGTGCTGTCTTTCATAGCTTTCTTATAAGAAGGAAAAGATTCTTTACAAAATACAGACTGACACATGGAAAATTCTGTTAACAAAGTGCTTAGGAAAAACAAATAATTCACTGGTTTTATAAAAGAAAATTTACTGACCTTGATTAATCTTCTTATAGCCTTATAATTTAAAAACATTTCTTACCCCAAAATTAAAGTGTAAAATGAATCAATAAATTATTTTTGTGACCACAAAGCTATTTTAAAAAATCACTAACTACTTAATGCCAAAGAATATTTTATAAATCTCCCCAAAGCAACATTACCAAACAGCAAGAATTACAGAAAAATGAATACAATCTTTGCATTAAGAAATATTTTATGCTAGTATTCCACTTTGATACAAAAACAAATTTAATAAAAGCAGGCTGAGTTTTTTAAATCCTGTTTTTTGTGGGTCAGATGGTTGGTTGATGGTTGGCTGGCTGGTTTTTCAGACAGATCTCCCTGTCTCAGCCTCTCCAATGCTGAAATTACAGGTAGTGCCACCAGGCCCTCCTCAAACAGTTAATATTAGGGCAGAGCAGGCTTTAACATAACATTTTAAATCTGTAGTCACTAATTCTCAAAGAAAATCCACAGGTATTTAAAAGATTTTACAATAAATTTTTGAAAAATAAGATTTTTTTATGAGACTAGGCATTGTGGTCACACAGCGAACAAAAACATAATCGGTGACTGACCAGGCAGTGGGGTAAATATGAATGCTGGGAAACCTGAATCCTGATCCTTACTATGCCATGAAGTTTATGATTTTGGCAAATCCCAACCTTCTCAGTTTGTCTCTTAAAAACAAAAACAAAAAACAAAACTAAGAGTATCTTTAATGTTCAATTCTAATATAATAACAGTAAGTTAATTATATAACAATATAAATTGACAATAAACCTTTTTTTACCCTCTAAGATATGGTTACCACTTATCTTTTGCTTATGTATATGCATCACCTGGATAATAATCCCAAAAGAATTCCTTATTTTTTTAGCAAAAAAAAATTATAAATGAACATATCATGTTGTACTAAATATTTTTAACCAAACAACCTTTTTAGCAACAAATGTTTTAGAGAAAAGTAACAGATTTATAACGTTCAAACATTGTAACTAAAGTTCACTTATTACCTTGGGTCCCAGGAACAATGTCTAATGATACAACTATTGTAATCCTATACATGCTTCATCACAAAAGTTTAAGTGAACCCATTTTCATAAAATTAATTTGTTTTGAATCCAAATGCAGAAAAAAAAATTTAAACAATAGTAAAACTTAAGTTATTTTTATTACATAAGTGAAGATCTATACTGATAGAACCATCCTGAAGACAGACATGGGAAACCTAGCTGAATGTCACTGGCATGCACCACCAGCCTGTGAGTCCACCATGCACAGCAGCTTTTGAAGAACATACTCCTCACGACCCCGCCCTTGGGAGAAGAGGTCTGCGCTTTGACACACTTTTTCAGTGGCACTAAGCTAGCATACTCACACTTAGTTTGGATCATTTTTAAGACTATTTACATAAACTTATATAGAAGTAACGAGCTAAAGAGCCCCTCTGCCCCTAATTTATATAATAAAATCTTTATTTTCTAAAGTGATCAGCAATCGGGTATGGTAGCAGATGGCTGTAATCCCAGCTCTTGAGAGGCTGAGGCAGAAGGATCACCAATTCCTTGAGGCCAGCCTGTACTACAAACAAGACCCTGACTCAAAGCAAAACAAAAAGTAAATAATAAACAGCAATGAAGTTATCAGAATTAGAGATTCAACATTAATTGTCTACATACACAGTTCTAATATTTCAAAGGAGAATAATTTATAAAGAAATATTTCAGAATTTATATTTTTATGGGTGTGTTTCTAACAGGGGCTTTGCCTTATTTCTTTTTTTATATTAAAAACACTACATCTAGTCTGTCTCTAAAGAAACAGTGTTCTGTAAAGTTCGTATTCCCGGTTTACATTCAAAATTATCCAAAACCCAAATGACTGAGTTCTGTGTAACTCAACACTAGAGAATGCACTCACTGGCTCGACCTGACCTAATACCTGGGTCACAATGCCACGGCCTTGTAGAATTATGTACCTGAAATGATTCAGCGTTAAGCATCCTAATTCACAAATTCAATCACAAGTGACTTGCATAAGACACAACAAATTAGTTGAAGATTTAAAAATCAGACTTCAAGCCTTTTCAATGTCTTAATTTTCATCATCCTAATAGAATAAGTCAGTAACTCACTTTTTAAAAGCATCATGTGTAAGGATATGAATACATTTAAAAGATAATTTACCCTCATTATTGATATTACAAACTGTAGAGCTTTTAATTATCAATTATGATCCTCAAACTGGAAGAGGTTAAAGCTTATGCATGATTTTAACAAAATGAATTTACCCCAAATGATTCATTTATTGATGCCCTCAAAATGTGAATATTGTTGTGTTCTGTTCTGAACACACACTGTGTGTGTGTGCGTGCACGTGTGTGTGCATACCATATTTCTGTGATTCCTTTTTTCTTCAGGGAGAAATGAGCAGCCATTTAAGAATTCCACAAAGAAGGGGCTGGGGATTTAGCTCAGCAGCATAAACACCTGCCCTGCAAGCAGGCGGTCGTGAGTTCGATCCCCGGTACCAGTAAAAAACAAAAAAAAGAATTCCACAAACAGGAACACTTTCAGTTTTCATACAGCTTGTGAAACTGAGTAAAATCTATCAAAAGGGTAAATTGTATCTACTTTAAATGAAATTCGATCAATAGTAAGAAATTAAATAATTTGAAATCTATTTTAATAAAGCTTAAGAATTAGTTTTCACAAAATTAATTTCAAAAATTGTTTCCATAGTAATCATGTAATAATTTAGTTTTTAAAAATGCAAAAATCAATCTGTGAACTAAATATCTGGGCTTTACAAAGATACTAGTACTTAGCCTACTTAACTTTTGCAAAAGGTTTAATAAATATCTAAATGAAAAACGAAAATAAAAAATTTTGATATATTCATGATGCAAACTAAGATTACTGAAATCCAACAAGTGTTCTGAGTTAAAATGTAAAAACTGCAATTACAAATAATATAAACGAAATTTCAAACTATTACCAAAAGACATAATAATAGCAGCAGATGAAAAAAATTAGATCCAAGTTACTTATGTCACAGAAAAGCATAAAAGCCAAAGTAATGAAACAACAGACAGAAGCTATGATATATTCCTTGCATTAATTCTTCTCTTCCAGTAGAATGTGTGACCTATAAAATATTATATAGCAGTGAGGGCACTTCAGAGAAAAGCAATACAAATAAAGAAATGGAGCAAGCAACTTGTGGGAAAGGATTAAAGGACTTTCTGAGCTTGGCTAGGAAGTGTTTGAAAGACAAAGGAGTGGCCTGACCAGTTACGCACCAAACACATTCCACAACACTGTCCTCTGATCCGTACACTTGCATTATTTTTCTTATTCATTTATTCCTGCTATCTTTTGCTCTACCAAGTTGATTCATATCCCAAACTGTGCAATCAAGTACTAAAGCATCTTAAGCCAATTCACTTAGATTCAGTATCTAGACAAAAAAATGAATTAGTCACTTCTCAAAGACAAACAAGTCAGTGGTAGTGGTGCAACCTTGTAATCCCAGCACTCAGGGGCTGAGGCAGGAGGATGGCAGTGAGCTGAGGACAGCCTGGAACACACAGTGAGTTCAAGGCCAGCTTGAGTTACAGAGTGAGACTATGTCTCAAAAAAAAAAAAAAAATTCTTATCAGGATATTTATTTATAATATTCAATGAGCCACAAGCCATAGGATGAAACCAGATAAGCAAAATACTTGAGACAAAACAGAACATTTCTTTTTCTTTTCTTTTCTTTTTTTTTTTTTTTTTCTCCTTTTTTGGAGACAGTGGGTCTAGCTCTGTAGTTAATTCAGGCTCACTTTGAACTCACTATGTAACCCAGGCTGGCCTCAGCCTCCTAAGTGCTG